CCAAAAATGCATTTAGTTCAAGAGTTTTATTCCCATTTAGAATTAAGAATGTTTAAAAAATTACTGTAAAACACAAATTTCATTTTCATCATTAATATTATGAAAAGATATTCAATCCCTTTAATATAAAAAGAAATGCAAATCAAATTGACAAAGAGATACTATATTTCATGTGTCAGATTGGCAAAAACAATGGGTGATTAGGCTGGTAAAGGTACTGGGAAGCCAGCAATCTCCTACAAAGCTCTATGAGTATTAATTTGTATGACCATCTGGAGGACACTTTGGCAATGTGTATCACAGGCTCGAAAATGTACATAGTCTTTGTCCCAGCAATTCCTCTTCAAAGTTTACCTCTTGAGCAAACTATTAGACAAGTATACAGAGATGTCTATACACAATGCTGTTTATATAAATGGTTTACTGAACACAAGAATTCAGTAGAGTACAAATAAGAGTGCCTGTATACTCTGTTGAATATTCCTTTCTCATTCCTCAAAGACATTGTCAGATATTAGAAAGTCTGTTCTTATTTGAGACTTCAGGCTCTTATCCAATTAAACATTTCCTTCCTCCTGACTCTTTCTTTTCCATCATATCATTTCCAATTCTTGCACTTTCCAATTGTTAGGGATGGGAGACGTAATTAGAGAGGGGCAGGAAAGAGCAATTGTCTTTTTACTTAAGGACAGTCATTGTTGCCTTCTGCATAATAGGTGTCCAGATGCTTCTCAAGGACCATGTATAAGATCTTCATGTGCTTCTTCCAATCCTTCTTCAGTCCCCACCACCAGAGGTCCACTCCTCAGGCTCTTGCTGCCAGCATCCTGGTGACATCCTACTACATGTGCCATCTAGTGCTTTACAGAAAAAGTTTGCTGACTTTTATTTTAGATGATAAAGTCATGGATGATTTTAGTTTTTTAAAATATTTTTCTGACTATATTTTCTACATCCAGCATAAATTTATTGTACAAAATATGTATTTGTTATTAAACCATTGAAATCTGATTAGAAAAAAACTTCTTATATTGATAACATTAAACTCAAGAGTAAACCTTATTAAGTGGAATCATAAATATTTGACTATAGCTTCCAAAGTTCTATGTCAAAATAAGATCTGCAATGTAGTTAGAATATTATTTTAATTGTTTTTAAAATTAAGGCCTATAAATGGACACGATTCTTCTAGTTACCAGAAAGATTAGTTTCTACAAACCGCTTTCAGAACTTCTGGCATGTTCTTTTCATCTTCTGTGCTAGCATATTAGCCCTCTGAGGCTGTATTTGAGTAAAATCGTGCTAAGCTGGAAGAACAGGTGGGTTAACTGGGGTAAAAGTTTTGGAGTGAAAAATAAGGGTGACACACAAAGATTGAAGACTGATTTCCTTCTCATGGTTTACCAACTAGATATGAAAACTCTTCCCAAAAAAGGAGTTTTCAAAATGTTTAAAGCTTTGGGAAATAAGTGAATCAATGTGGGACCTCCCAAGAAAGCCACTTTGAAGAACTAAAGTCACTTCGATGCATAAATTATGGATATTTGTTACAAAGGGCAATTCTGATGTAGCTTAGCAAATTTTGCTTCAAAATCCTGTAGGATAAAACCTTAAAAAAGGTGTTTGAGTAATCAGGAAATAATTAAGGCAGGCAGAAGGCTTGCTAATTAACATTAGGTGAGGGAATACTTGAAAATGGAATTCATATTAACCAGAAGTTCCAGATGACATGCATCTTTATTAAAAGAAACAGAAGTAAACAGTACATTAATTAAACTTTCAAATATACAAAATAAGGCTTTAAAATGCCAGTAAGGAAACAGAAATAATACAATGGATTTTGATAAAAAATATCAAGCAATTAAAATGAGAAATAATAAAATTATGCTTTGATGCTTATAAGTTTACCCATGCAGAAAGAATGCCACAATTTAAATAAATTATTGCATCAAGGACTTCCTGATTGTTGGATCGATCATCTTGACTAGCTAGTATCAATACAGTGGTGGAATTCCCTGATTATCATGGAGCCATTTACACATTTCCAAAGTCAAAATATGTCCCTAATAGTCTCAAAGATTAAGACTCTGGCCTCTCCAGGGCATAAAAACTAAAACATAATTTATCTAAATATTAAATCATGTAAATGCTAAACACTCCATACCTCTTAATATTTTCGAAAGGGAAACAGCTATCCTTAGTATCTATATTAATTGGTTTAAAGATATTTTCTGCCTTTTGACGCAGTTCATCTTTATAATAATATCTCCCATTACACCTGCTGCCAGCACCTATGCCCACCATTACCTTATGCCAGGTATTCACCAGCAGACCCCAACTTTCTAACACCTAAGCATTTCTTCACGTTTCCTCTTCTAACCACTCACTTCCTAGTCCTTTTCACCCCATTCTATGCTTTATCTAAATCTAATCTTCAAATCCATCTTCAAAACCTAGCCCAAACGTCACTTTGTTTATGAAAAATGTCTCTTTCTTTCTAACCAGGAGTAATTATTTCCAACTCTATGCTCTCGTGCCTCTTGCCAGTTTCTATCATAAATTAGAGCTCTCTGAATGACTATCTCATTTCCCCTGCTAAACTATTACTTTCTTAAAGTCTACATTACTGTTTTTACTATTCTCTGCAGCGGCTAGCACATTGTCAGCAAGTAGCATATTATTAATATGCATTTGTTAGTGAATAAATGACCTCTTTTGAAAAGGAGATAGAAAAAGGAAATCTGATTAATTTTTCTTGAAGAAATGAGGATAGAGAGAAAAAGGTATAATTTTGTCCATCTTCTCAATGGAACCTGAATCAGATTATTGTTGAATAGCATAGGTATTTTCGTTTAAGGCAAATATGCTTTAAAACTAAACTATAATTGTAAAACAAAGCAACAGCTTTTTCACATCTTCAGGTGACTATTGTACACCTTTTGTAATGTTAATGCCATATGAAGTCCTCCCTGTATGTGGGAAGATTAATACATTACAAGGTGAATAATCAGAGAAAACACCACGCTCATTTATGCTACCTACTAATCTGTGGGACTCTATTTAATATTGATGGGCCTCCGTTTCCACATCTTTAAGGTAGGAGTCATTGTTTTCAGCTTTACCTTTTTCACAAGTTTATTGTAAGAGCTAAAAAATAATGTGTTAGCACTTTGTAAAGTTCTGGATAAAAGTAAGAGTATATGAGGGAGATGAACATAAAGGACATTAAGATAGTAATATGAATAAAAGACAGAATGAGTGAGTAAATGACTAAAGCAGGTCAGATTCTTTAGGTCAGATTTATATCAAATACCTTAGGAAATGCTTGAAGCAAGGAAGGATTTTGCAATGCAATGACTTAAGCTTCCATCACAAGAAACTGAGTAATTCCAGAGGGGCAAATGTTAAGATCACTGAATTATTTCACTGCTTTATGAGTTCTATAAAATTACAAATTCAATCTGAGGGATCCTTATAGATGAGAGAATTCCAGAACTGAAATGATCTTCACTGTAATTACTATTACCATTTAGTAAAATGATTTTACTTCCTTCTCTCATACGATTAAGGTCAGTTTAGTAAAAGTCTAAGATCTTTTCCATCATACTTCATGACATCCTCAAGTTTTAACAAACTTGCTGAAAAGGAATACAGATTTCGGAAACCAGGGATAAAAAGGGATCTGAACATTCATTTATTCCAAACACCACCCAGACCTGGAATTCATCTGTAGAATCTCTGCTCTGTCTAGTCTTGACCTGGATGGATCCAACGCAGGAAAAAGGATCGAAGTCAACTGCTGATCCCTAAATCAATTAAGTAGAGATATGGTCTCCCATCATTTTTGATGTGTGTGAAAGCTTTGGTTTGCCCCACATGCAGAAGAGACACACACTGCCTTATTGCTGTTCGGCTAGTCATTCCTTCCCACTTGGTCATCCAGGTCCGTGATACCCAGTTCCAAGGTAGCTAGGGCAATTAACAATAAATTTTCAGTTTCAATTCCTTTTCTCTCTTAATGAGAGTTTATCAGCATATCTATAGACATTTTCTAAGATCCCTGTCTCTACTAGGATTAAATTTGTGATGGATTTTGCAGTGGCCTTAGAAATTCCAGCTTCTTTCCCAAAGGAGCCACTGAACAGAGCGTCTTGAATAGCACATCAACTCTGAAGTGTTAGATTCTGTTAAAGTCACTCTGACCTTTCTTATGGCCTACACATGGGCCTTGAGGATTATAAGCGTTTAGCAACTACATGATCAAAATGCCAAAATGTTTGTAAACAATTTGGCTAATCCTCATTTTGTGCCTATGGTTAATGTCATTATTGGAAACTTATGATTCAGATTTGCAGTAATTAATAAGTATAATAAATGAAATCTTTTCATCTTGTATTTTGGATAAATGGCATTGCCACTCAGACAGCAGCAAAAACTTCACCAATCGTAACCAAAATAAACCATGTTTCTTCCCTCCACTCTGCCCCACACCCCAAGGTTAAAATTTTAACTTGGTGTAAAAATTGAATTTTAACTTTATGTTATGTCATAATTAAAACATGAGTAGTCAAATGAAACTACTATTGCATGTCTTACTTATTTCCTGTTACCATCATATCATGTAATCGATTGAAAGGTAGCTGGTTTTCCTATATATTAAAGGAACATAATTTACAACTCAAGCATATCAGATGGAAAACTACTGGCTGCAAGTGAGAAAACAAAGTCATTTTTCAGAAGTCATCATGATCTTGGGGTGACCTGATATAGAAACCAATGCCAAGGAGTTCTTTTTAAATTAAGTTCAATGAACTAAAATCTGTACTGGTATCAAAACTACATCTAGAAATCAAATTTCTAAACTAACACAATAATGTAAAGCAACTATATGTCAATAAAAAAAGAAATCAAATTTCTATTTTTAATCCCTTTGTGTCAGTTTATCTGTGTTCATGTGATATACGAGGCCTTAACATTCTCTCTCTGTGTGTCTCTCTTAGAAGATAAAGGGAAGTTAAAAGTCAGCATTTCCAGTCCAGCAACAAGCTCTGAAGGTGGCTCCTTTCTCCTCAGAACTGGCACGACACCCCTGCCACCTGGAGCAGCCACTTCTCCCTCCAAGAGCACAAATGGAGCTTCTGGTAGTGTTTCTGAATCAGAAGAAGAAAAAGCCAAAAAACTACTTTATTGTTCACTATGCAAAGTGGCTGTGAACTCCCTGTCACAGCTAGAGGCACACAACACAGGTTAGCAGCTCTCGTCTGAACTTAAATAGTGTTTGTAACAAAACCCAACTTTTCCCATCAGAATACTTTATCTGTTGTTCAGACATTAGGTTTGTTCAGTCTTCTCTACTTTTTTGATTCAAAGGTGTGATTTTTAAGAAAAGTATGATAGTAGTGACTTTGGAAACAGCAAGGCAAAATCAGGTTGAAGATAAAACTTGTCTTATTCTTTATTGTTTCAAAAGCATATAATATAATACCCAAAACTCATTGTGATGAAGTGATAGAAATGAAGATAAATATCCATGTACAATGTTTACTGCAACACACTTCTAAGAGGAAAAAGAATGGAAATAACTAGAAGTCCTTCACTAAGGAAATGTTGAGCAAATTATAGTAACCCAATATGATAGATAGAACTCAGCCATTAAAACATAATTATAAGAAAATATGTATATGATTTGATATGTGAAATTTCAGGATATTTAATTAGCACGAGCCCAGTTTTGAAAGTATATATTTTTTTAAGTTTACCAAGAAAAGAATCTGAAAAGAAATACACTAAAATGATAATAGTGGTTATCTTTGGAGGGTGAAAATAGAAATAGTCTACATTTTCTTATGCTCCTCTATATTTTCCTTATTTTTTATTAGATAGTCATAGTTTTCCATTTTTTACAATGAAAAAGTGTTAAATCTATAATCAGCATTAAAATGGTCACTAAAAAAAGTCGTGGGAAATTCAGCCTGAAGATTAACTTCTCAAAAGCTTCTTATAGCTCTTAAATAGCTATTTAATACATGTTTATTTCTTTCTTAGGATCTAAACATAAGACCATGGTTGAAGCTCGCAATGGGGCTGGTCCAATTAAGTCCTATCCTAGACCTGGATCAAGATTAAAGATGCAAAATGGCAGTAAGGGGTCAGGACTACAGAACAAGACATTTCATTGTGAAATCTGTGATGTTCACGTTAATTCAGAAATTCAACTCAAACAGGTAAATGTATCCTGAATTAGTAGCCACTGTGGCTGGGTGTCACCCCTTGACTATACATCTCCTAATCTATATGATGGTTCTTACTGTGCTAACAAATAAATATACTAGCCTTTATAGAATGCCTAAAATGTACAACATGAGGTGCTTTGTGGAAGAAAAAGTTAGTACCAAATATTTGTGCACCTACTCTTACCCCAAAGGGGGACAGGAAAAGACCCCAGTTCTTGTCATGCCAGAAAGATAAGAATTCAGACAGGAGACAGAAGTGTTGTGTAGCAAAAGGTTTTAAAAGTTTTATTTAGCAAAGGGAAAGTATACCTCCAGGAGGGAGGCAGGCTGATCCAAGGGCGGATAGCAGTGGTCTTTGTTTGCCCCTTCTCTTATACCCTGGCTTTGAGGTGGTCTTTTAATTGATGGACGGCTCCTGCCCCTGGAGTGCTTAGTCGTGCTTGTCCCCTTTTGTGCATATCCTTACCTGTGATGCACACAGAAAAACCCATGGCGGGCGGGGCCTAAACCACAATGCTAATTATATTACAGTGAGCACTGGGACATGCCCAGTTAGGTCCTTGTTGCGCAGCTGCCGGCTTCTAACCAGTTTCTTGCCAGCACTCATTTAGAGGAAGTAAAGCCCCTTTAGCTGAAGGTGGGCATACCGCCATCTTCCAGACCAACCTCCCTCTCCTCCACCTTATCTGCCTGGTGCCACCACTTATCTAACTACCTAACACTACTATTACTACTCTATGTCAGACTCCAGGCTCGGTGTTAGACAGATGAGCACAGCAGTCACCTGGAGCTGACAGGCGAGCAGGAACTTCTAAGACAGTACATGTTCAGCCTGTCTTCCAAGGACCCAAAATCTGCTTAAGGAGACAGACTCATCAGTCACGGCGGTAATACCAGGCAAAGTTGTTAAGTGCTATAGAGAAAGGAAAGGAAGAAAGGCGTTGCAACAGAGTAGAACCGTGGAACTGTGGACATAGAACTGGGAATGAAGGAATCGGCGACCTCTGTCTAGGAAATATATTTTACACGGAATGAAACTCACCTGTAGATTCAGCTAATGCATCAAATTTTTTTCAGCACATTTCTAGCCGAAGGCATAAGGATCGAGTTGCAGGAAAACCACTGAAGCCGAAGTACAGCCCTTACAACAAACTCCAGCGGAGCCCAAGCATTTTAGCAGTAAGTTCCCCTTGCTTGCTCACCTGTTTTCTGGAGCAGCCTTGCTGTAGGTAAGGAGGGCCTAGAGATTATTTGGTTCTGAAACGGTTTTGAATTTAAAAGCCCTCATAGAAGTTTTAGAGTGGACTTAACCCCTGCTGGACAACACCTGGAAGAGCCCTTCCTTAGAAAAGAGAAACTGAATCTCTTTAAAGGCTAACACCTTATGCGTTACCAGGACCTTTTAAAGAGATTACCTTCTTCAGCATATGAAGAAAAGGGCTCAGGAACAAGGCACTGATGCCTGAGGAATCCTGGGAGTGCTGAACCTGGGGAAGGGGTTGCTTCCCTAAAACAACATCCACCTATTTCCTGTCCTCCTCCTCCTTTCTAGGGTGTCATCCATCTCTCACTCTCCCTTCCCCCCTCCTCCTTCCCAGAAAGTACAGTGGGTGTGTGTATTGCTCTCTCCTTCCCTATCTAGCAGGCAATGTTGACAGTCAGCCTGTCTTACCTGCTCTCAATATGTGCTATTTTCATTTTCTTTGCAAAAATACCAATGGGATCCAGCAATAGATGTCATATAAATACCCAGATGGATGGATTTCCTAATTTCCCTGGGACTCGGCCCAGTGTGGTACTCTATCTGAGGCTGAAAGCTGGGATTGGCCAGCTGGAGACAATACTGACATTACCTCCAGCTTTTGCAAAGCCCCCATCAATGCTGCAAGCAGGTGTTATGTGCATTAGGCAAATCCAGCTTGCAGAGCTCTTCCTGATTGCAAAAGAGAGGAATTAAGGATTGATTTCTTACTTCATTGGCAGATTCCACCTTGGGGTTCCTTTAAAGAGAGGAAGTTTCTAGCCCACTTACAATCATTCCCAAGGACAGAAATCTGACGAGCTGCAGTTTTTCAAGGAATACTTTTTAAGTGGTGAGAGAAAGTGTAAACTGACTTTTTTTCATGACTCTTCATGAGTTCTTAATGTCCTGAACCCGTTACCTAACCCAGTGTGGCTTTTTTAAAAATGTGAAGTGAAGGGTAACACAGATTCTCCAAAAAGGCTGCATTGTGGTTTAAGACAAGTTAGAATTTTGAACTGAGCTAAGCAGGAAACCTTCTGGGTATGTTTGTTTTTCCCTTGGGAGCAGCAGCATAAATAGCTTTAGTATCTATTCAGAGAGGCTTTCCAGTGTCCTGGTGCCCAGGGGCAAAGACCACCAGAAGAGTGGAAATGGAAGCAAATCAAAGTCAAGGTATGCCAAGAGCCTTGGAAACCAGCTTTGTAAAAATAATCATTTCTTGACTTCTGAGAGTAGAGCTTTTGACATCTTGACTTTCTTATATTGGCCTTTTACATATGAACATCTGTCTGTGGTGCTGTTAATTCAAAACAATCTCCCCACCCCATTCCTGGTTTTTCCCTCTCTTAGGCAAAACTTGCATTCCAGAAAGACATGATGAAGCCTTTGGCCCCGGCCTTCCTGTCCTCGCCCCTGGCGGCGGCGGCGGCGGTGTCCACCGCGCTGTCCCTGCCGCCCCGGCCGTCGGCCTCGCTCTTCCAAGCTCCGGCCATACCTCCAGCTCTCCTGCGGCCGGGCCACGGCCCCATCCGCGCCACCCCTGCCTCCATCCTCTTCGCTCCCTACTAATGTCTGCCAGCCCCAGACGGTTGAGGCCAGTAGGAAAGTGGAGAAGGAAAGCCAAAAGGATTCAGCACTTTGAGCATTTGGGGTCACAGCGTCCCCACCCGCCCGGCCACAAAGTGCGGAGCGCCGCCCCAGCCCCCGACTCCAAAGAGTTATCCCTCACGAGACTGGAGAGTGCTTTCAGGGGCGCCTCCTGTCATTTCTGAATCTGAGCAGCCCAGGCTTTATCTCCCTGTTTCCCTCCCCCTGCCCTACCCTACCCCATTCAATATGTGTAGCTGAGGTATTTGGTTTCTTGCAAATGTATTGGTCAGAAAAAATATATATACATATATATCATTCTCTGACTTATTTTTCCATGGGTGTGATCTGGCTTAGAAACAATATGGAATCTTTTCCTGACAGACTTGAAAACTAGGGTCTTCCTCACAACGTCTGTAAATAATCCTGGAATCCAACTGGGCACATTCTAGTGTGGAACAAAAATAGATGAACACAAGTGCTTACTTGTGAACCCCATCTTACCGACGGATCGCAGCGTTTTCTTTTCCGTGTACTATTGTTGACAGGGATTGTGTACTGTTTTAGACCCAAGTGCTGTTGTATCCTGTGTAGTACTAGACCTGTATCTCTTGTCTGAATTAAACATTTTTAGTTGCTGTGTAAATGTTAGGAAGCCAAGTAGCTTTGAATTTTCTCTTTAAGAGAACAAAAGATAAAGTAATGTATTTTCTTTATTTTACATTTTATTTGATGATATTTAAACGAAATAGAAAGCCATATAACATAGCTCTAATTACTACCTGTCTGCTATTTTTGTTTAACTTATTTCGTAGCTTTCTCACCATTTGGAGTTGCTAAGCAAATGTATACAAACAGAAAAAGAGCTTCCTAAATTGCACATTTTTGCACCTCTTGTGCATTCTGCAAGAAGACAATGAATCCATGTATTTCTATGTAATGATCTTCATTTTTAACCTGTTTTCATTTGTAATGATGCTACATAAATTTGTGGCTCCCTAATGCAATAATGTACAGAAGATAAAAAATTTATAATTGAACAGTTTGTCTTTCTGTTCACTGAATATGTTGCAGGTCGTGCTCCCATGCCCCCCTTTCTAAGCTGATATCAACAAGACTGGAATGTTTGTGATATCAGGGGCAAGAGGTATCATAAAACAGCAAAATAGAATGAACTCTTTTAGAGCATCTATATCTGCAATCTGTAAATGGTAAAATGTCTGTGTATTTTTTTAAATGTACCTTTTCAATAAAAGTACAAAAAATAAAAATCTGTTTGTATTTTCAAAGTGATTTTCTCTCGAGACACCTCCAATTTGAAATCATCTGTTGAAGGATTTTCAGTAGGTGCAAAAATTGCTTCTTACATATTTAGCATTTTCAGTTCTTATTTGCAGCCTATTTATTTGTCATGTTTATTCATTACTGTTCACAGCATCTGCATGAAGCGAGACTTTACCGCTGTTTTCCCTCTGAATCTCTAAGAAGTTGAGCCAAAATTGTGAGTGTGGCCCCAAATTGTGAGTTTCAGCCACCTGCCAAAAATTTGTGACACAATTTTTAAACATTCTGGGAGTTTCCTAAATCCCTAGCTAGTCTTTTATTCCTGTCCAAGGCAATAATGATCTCTTTTTAGAGAATTTGATTCCATTCCTCCCCCTTTGACCTTCTCTAATCATTCCACCCTTCTTTTCTTCCACCTCACTCGGTTTTTAAGTGTAAAGAGCAATATATCATTGCTTTTTCTAGTTATCTGCTTAATGAGCTACTCCAATGCATAACGGCTTCAAATAAAACCATTTTATTATATCACGATTTCAGGGGTCGGGAATTCCAGCAAGGCTTGGCCGGGCTGTTCTGTTCCCTAAGTCCTCAATAAAAGGTCCCTAGGTGGTATTCGGCTGGTGGATGGACTGGGCTGGAGGCCCATGTTGGCTTTGCTCATGTGTCTGCCTGGATGGAGGAGCTGGAGGGCTGAACGCTAATGGGCTTTCGGGCGGTCTCCCCAGCTAAGTGATCTCAGGTAGTTATATAGTAACTCAGGGCTCCCAGAGAGAGCATTTTCAGAGGTTCTGGGTAGGAGTCAAAAGTCTTCCTATAAAATTGTCTTGAAACTCCCAGCATGTCACTTATGCTGCATTCTATTGATCAAGCAAGTCACTGAGGCCAATCCAAATTCAAAGGAAAAGAGATTATTCACTTTTCAAAGTGAAGAAAACTAAAGAATTTGTGGCCATCTTTAGTCTATTGCTCTGTTATAGAATTTTGAGGGGAGTGGTAACAAAGCTATTATAGATCCACTTTCCCCATTTTAAGCCCGAAAACCATGTCAGTTTTTTAGGGTGAGAAAAATTGGGGTGGGAGTAGGACCTAAATTCTCATTTCTAAAAAATTAAGGCAAATGGCTGGCTGTGCAGCTGTGATATGTAGCAACAGCATCACAGACTTCCTCTATCAAAGAGTTAATCCAACTGTTTGAAAATTGTTGACCTCAAGATTCTAGGCTTACAATCAGGTTAGTTTCAGAGTCTATTAAGATTCCAGTTTGACATTAAGAATGTGAGGGTTTTTTCAATATGATTCATTTGAACTCTCACCACTAATAGTTACAATAAACCTTGGCTGGACCTTCAGTCGTGCTCTGAAGGAATTGTGTTTCAGTTTAACTCTTTGGAGAAGCTTTCTTTTTAAAACAGACACCATTGACAATTATATTTCATTTCTCTTGTATTATTCTATATCTCATTAAATCTTACCACAGTCCTCAAAAAAATTTTAAATGTCAACATTTAAATAGACCCAGGAACTTACTGATGATTTTAGAGTTTATGTTTTCTAAAAATCACCTAAGGGAGAAAGTACAAAACAACAGCAATTAATTAAAATGCAAGACTCCAAAAGAATCCATGAATAGCTCCAAGCAATGATTTATAAAATACTATTAAACACATATATCTCATCATCCACCTTGATTCTGAGGTGGCAGAGTGGGTCAATCCTGAGGGGGTATACATATTTGAACTATTACCTCTTCCTATGCCAATTGAAGTGGGAAAAGACTACCATTTTTTTTTTTATCATTACCATTCTCTACCCTCCACTTATTGGAAAGTTAAAAATGTGCTGCTTACTCTGACATAGCCCAGCTCTGGTCTCTGTGGAATCTGAAAACTGGTCTCAGGATTGCCAGACAAAATATAAAACACTAGTAAAATTTTGATTTCAGATAAATAATGAACAACTTTTAGTATAATATTTTAATAATTTTCATTATGATATTGAACATAGATTAATATGTTGCATAAATAAATATGCTATATCTGGGACATACTTATACTAAGAGAATATCTGCTGTCGATCTGAAATTCAAATTTAAGTGGCCGACTTGTATTTTTATTTGCTAGATCTGGCAACCCTTGTCTCAGGAGCATCTCTCTTCTTCTCAAGTACCATAATCCTTCAGCAGAGAAGTGACCTCCTGGGTATTCAGAACTAAGTAGTGAGTTTTTTTAAGGCACATTGTGCAATGCACTCACAAATAGGCAGAGGAAGGAACTTGCAATAAGTGAAAGTCAATGATACATTGACATTGGATACGACCAGGAGAGGGGAATTTGCAGCTGCAGATGCCTCTAACTTAAAGCTGCACTGATACCTGTTAAGCAAAATTAAAGTATTATAAAACCAAAAACCCCCAAAATTTGCATTTGTATTTTGCACCAAACATATCACCCCCGATTTGTTCCTTCTCTGCCCTAAGAGAATTCTTATTTTTGGAGCATAAATGTTTAGGGTTGGGTAGAATATTTCTCCCAGAAAGTTCTCCCAAGGAAAACTACCCTATAGTTTATGTAGTTGAGAAAGAGAACCAAGGGATTCCCGCTGGAGAAAAGAACAAAGGAGAAAGAGTTATTAGAATATCAGGTGAAAATCCTGTTGCCCTAAGTCTCCTTTTGGGAGTCTAAAAAGACTCACTGAGGAGAATGAATTTGGGGATGTTTTGAGGAATGGACGCCCGCTGTCTGGGATGCCATCAGACAGAGGGATCATGGAAAGAGGAAAGAGAGGGCCAGAAACTCTTTCAGATAAAGATTAAGTCACGCACACTTGATAAGCACTAGCATCTTCAGGTAACAGGTGGGGGATTTCGTTACACCTCTGTAGGTCTGCCATGTGGATTCTGGCCTCTCTTTACAGTTTTCCTTCCATCAGATCTTTGTTTTGTGAATATGATGGTGCTCAATGAATATCAGAGGTGACATGGCCTCTTTGGGAACATGTCTGTTTGTGGAACCTTAGTGGGCTGAGTGCTGTGTATGCAAAGGAAACTCCACAGGGGATGCTCCTCTTTGCCTCCTTCCTTCCTCCAAGTAATTAGCTCTGTGAGAGAATTCATCAGGGAAGGATGAAGGTTCTCAGCACCTATGGAGTGTGACTGTCAGGCACTGCCCTGATTTCTTTGGCTAAAATTTCTAAAGCCAGAGTGACAATATAATATGTTCTACTCCTCACCGCGTCCTCAACCGGCAGCAGAACTCTGGTTATCAGATCGGTACCATCTGTGGATGCAATAAAAATATCTTAATGTTACATTATTCATTTTAAAGAAGTCACTTATCTACAGATGATTGACAAGCTTGTCATTAAGCACCTGTTTTTCATTTTTATTATAGTGAGAAAAAATAAGGATAGAAGAGAACTAAATAAGAATAATACATATTTTGCACTCAGAAGACCTGAATTGAAATTCTGGTCATGTCCCACACTTGTTAGTTCTGATTTAAGGTAATTTCCCCAGCAACTCAATTTTTTACATATATAAAACAGATACAATGGTACCCAACTCATAGGGTGGTTCTGGGAAGCAAATAAAATTAAACATGCAAAAATATTTCTGTAACTCACAGATTTAGAAAACAAACCTAAGGTTACCATAAGAGAAAGGTGGTGGGGGGATAACTTAAGAGTTTCGGATTAGCAGATACAAACAACTATATACAAAATAGATAAACAAGAACCTACTATATAGCACAGGGAATTATATTCAATATCTTTTAAGAACCTATAATGGAAAAAAACATAGGAATAACTGAGTCACTTTGCTGTACATCAGAAACTAGCACAACATTGTAAATATGTGTCTATAAAATTTTTTTAAATAAAAAATTTTAAATGTTTCTATAAATTAGTTTGCTACAAATTTTCATAAGTGGATAAATATAACTAATTTTTCTCATTTTAAATTTCTAAATTTTAAGTAAGATTCTCTCAAATTAGCCAACTTTGAGTCTTTAGCATTAACCTAGACTCAGAGAAAAATACATCTATAATGGAGACAAAATTCATTCATTGTCAGTTGATGTTCCTGTTCACAAAGGTATAATACAAACAGAAGTAATACTAAGATAATAAAGCCAAAGTCAATATAGAGTGTGTTTGCGTATCACTGATTTGTCTGAATTTTATAAATTTTGTATTCCATGTAACAAAAACAGAATTTCAAGTTGTGGAAATCTTTAGGTTGAAAAAAATTACTATTATTATAAAAGGTAAATTTCTTTCTGATGTAGAAAATTTAAAAACACTATAAAAAGGATTTAAACATACAAGATAAACTAAGAAAAATATTTACAATCTATGTGACCTGTACAGCTTCATATCCTTATTATACAGAGACGTCGTAAAATGAGGTGGGTGGGGAAACTCTTTCAAAAAAGAAAAACAGTCCAATAACCAAACAGGCAGAAAGGCAATCCAGAAAAGACAAAATATATACAAATGCTTAATAAATGTGAAAATATATTTGTCACCACTAAAGTAATACAAATGAAATCAACATTTTTTGATCTAACATATTGACAAATTATAAATTTTCTGAACTGCCTAACAGTGTGAGTGGGGAAATAGACTCATTCATGCATTGTTTGTAGTAATAACAATTGCTTTGACTTTTCTGGAATCACATGTATCATTATGTCAATTATCCATAAACTTTGGCCCAGGAATTCTATGTCCAAGATTTTATCCAAAGATATTAACCCTGTAAATTTAAAAAGATGTACACAGAAGTATGTTTCAAAATAGTGAAAAAATGTTCACAGGGAATGAGTAAATAAATTATGGAACTTGCACAGGGGGAAACAGCACAACCATTTAAAATGATGACATAATTCTGTAACTGCTCACATGAAAAGATGTCCATGATATGTGACCTAGTGGGGGAAATAAAAGGTTACAGTGCATGCTGAATATGATCATATTCGTATTACAT